ATCATCAAATTTGAAATGTAACGCAGGGAATTCTGGGAATGTTAATTTACAGTTTTTCGCTGTAAATTATACGGTCTTTTTCACTTCCAAAAACGGTATACTACCGTAAAATTAATGTCCGATACATGTAATGTTTAATACAGTTTTTCACCGTATATAGTAGGTGAATTTACCGTTAACCATTTAACAGGTTTTTAATGTAGCATTTTTACAGTCTTTTGCCGTTAAATTCATGGTCATTTTTTACAGTGCACAGCAAAAGAGTAATTCCCGTTCACAAAATTGAAATCACAAATAATACTGATGAAAAAGAACGGGTTGAATGTTGAACACTCGTCACTTCCAAAAACGGTATACTACTGTAAAATTTATGTCCAATACATGTAATGTTTAATACAGTTTTTCACCGTATAAAGTAGGTGAATTTACCGTTAACCATTTAACAGGTTTTTACTGTAGCATTTTTACAGTCTTTTGCCGTTAAATTCATGGTCATTTTTTACAGTGCACAGCAAAAGAGTAATTCCCGTTCACAAAATTGAAATCACAAATAATACTGATGAAAAAGAACGGGTTGAATGTTGAACACTCGTTACCATATAACTATAAACTAGGATAAAGTTCATCAGCATGCATTGATTAATCCCATGTTGCAGCAAAAAAAAAAAAAAAATGCGACCAAATGATGTCCTCCTGCAACTAACTGAGAAAGTTAGTCGCAAAAGAGCGACCAGTGGGAAGAATGAGTCTAGAGCCCTGATTTGCATAAAACATGACCGAACAATCTTCATATTAGGTCTTTTTAAGGATTATTATTGGTGCTCCATTATTAATATTGGTTCATATTATTATCAATGTTGAAAACAGTTCTTAATCAGTGTTTAATATCATGATACATTTTTTTCAGGATTCTTTGAAGAATAGAAAAAGTTAAAAGAAACAGCATTTATTTTGAAATAGAAATCTCTTCCTACATTATAAATGTCTTTACTGTCACTTTTAATCAGTTTAATGTATCTTTGCTGAATAAAAGTATGAATTAAATATATATACAGTGTATATATACATATATATATATATATATATATACACACAGTATATATAATACTTCTTATAGGTCCAATTTGCTTGCAAGCTTTCACAGACATTAAATATATTACAGTTGGCTTGTGTTCAGGTACAGTTTCAGTTTGCAACTTAACTTGCTTTGCTTAAGGAAAAGAAAGTAGTATTTGCAATGTGGAAACTCATTTTTGCATCAGCCTGAGCTCATGTTGTCTAATGACTTTAACACAGATGGATGATTAGATTGATTCCATACAGTTTTTTTGCCATTGCTTTTGCATGCAGTTCTATTGCACCCACTGAGTACTCTATTTTACATGAAAAAAAAAACAAGAATAGAAAGCTCATACAATAATAGCTTAACATTGACAAACTGATGAGCAACATTTGATTTAAAAAAAACAAGCTATTTTGACCTTGCAGAATCAATTATACATCTTCCTATGACCCAAATGAATACTGTGCCATGTATACACTTTATTTTAAGGTGTCCTTGTTACAGTGTAATTATGCATTTAAGTATTGATTATTATTAAATAAATACATATTATTAGTAATAATATTTCACTATATGTTTGATCAAATAAATGCATCCTAGGTGAACACACTGCAAAACAGATTTAGATTTTGACTATTATTAATTAATCTTTCAAATATGGTGGTGTGCATCACTCTTTATATACGTTCATGCTGTTTTTTTCTTATGAAGATGCCTACTAAAAGTTAAAGTAAGAACAATAACATGAATATAACTGTTTTTTGAAGGAGATAATTTACCCAGATATGACTTTCTAAACCAGTATGACTGTTAAAACTTTTTTTTTTTTTTTGGAGCTTGACAACATCTGACTCACATTCATTACATGAAGCACCACAAAAATTCTCCTAAAACCTCCAAAAAAGACACACAGGTTTGGAGCGACATGAATAGATAGTGAATAGATGATGACAGACTAGTCTTTATCTCTTCAGTCTTTTTGATTCCATTCTCTTGAATGCCGACGCCATCACAGTTTCCTGGCATGAATGTATCTTTTGTGCTGTCATTTTGAACCTCCACCCACACAGATCTGGATCCGCCACGCGACCTGGAAGTGCGAGACTCCACCGAAACCACCCTGGAACTGGTCTGGAAGAGGCCCAGGGCCAAGCTCTCCACCTACAGGCTAGCATTCGTCTCTGCCGACGGCCGACGGGAAGAAGTCGAGCTGCCTGTTACCGCAACCACCTATACCCTGAGCGGCTTGAGCCCTGGCATGCGCTACACCATCACCCTCGTGGCAGAACGTGGGCGGAGGAGAAGTGCTCCTGCCACCATCACCACCTCCACAGGTGAGCGATTCCTAGTGTAAAGCTGATTTTGTTTGCTTTTGTCCAACATGATAATGTCAGTGTTCTGTTTTCAGGTGTGGACAACAAAGATTGTGTTGTGAAATTGATCATAACTAACTGTTATATGCATTTTTTCCCTAAATATCTATTTAAAATCATCAGTTTTAGACCTGAAACATACTCTATGCAAGTACGTGAATACAAACACTCCTTTTTGTGTTTGATTGGTATGGCGTTATGCTCCAAAATCTGTCAGAATGCAGTTCGTTCTCAGTTGCATTCTCAACATGAATGAATTGCACATTGCAAAAACATTTTCATTTATTTTCTCTACTTGGTGAGCAAATCGGCGTGTTTATACAGTACCTCCTTATTTTTAATGTACTGTAAGAGTGCAAGGTTTTTTGTGTTTCAGCCACTTCCAATTATTTTTAGCTGGACAAAAACCAGTGCGTTCACAGGAAATGACGTATAGCATTTAAAAATAAGTTGGATAAAAGTATAAAACATAAGGAAACTGTATTGTCATCGCCAGTGCAATGCATAAGCACATGTTAAAGCATGTTAAATGAAAATGTCCTCTCCCTCAGGCCATCCAGGGTGTGGATTAGTTTGTTTCTTCATCAGAACAGATTTGGAGTAGCATTGCATCACTTGCTCACCAATGGATGCTCTGCAGTGAATGGGTGCCGTCAGAATGAGAGTCCAAACAGCTGATAAAAACATCACAAGTAATCCACACCACTCCAGTCCATCAATTAACGTCTTGTGAAGTGAAAAGCTGCGAATTTGTAAAAAACCCTGCAAACAGGGTTCTAAAATATGAGTTCTCGATCCATAATATTGGTTTCTCCAGTGAAAAAGGCATCTCATTTGAACCAGGAGACAAATATGCACAGATCAAGCACCATTTACAAGTGGAAGCAGTCCAAAATATTTCTAAACAAATAGGTCGGTGGATTTTGATGTGAGAGGAAAACCGGGGATGCACTTTTTCACTGGAGGAAGCATAATTATGGATTATGTACATTTTGGCCAGAGGTGACATTTGAAGTTAAAAATGCCTTGATGGATATTTTCTTACAAACATGTAGCTTTTCACGTCACAAGATGTTAACTGAAGGACTGGATTACTTGTGGATTATTGATATGTTTTTATCAGTTGTTTGGACTCTCATTCTGACGGCACCCATTCACTGCAGAGGATCCATTGGTGAGCAAGTGATGCAATGATAAATTACACCAGATCTGTTCCGAGGAACAAACAAACTCATCTACATCCTGGATGGCCTGAGGGTGAGGACATTTTCATCTAACATGCTTTAACATGTGCAGGCCTGATGGTGAGTACATTTTCAGCAAACGTTTATTTTTGGGTGAACTATTAGTAGGTTCAACAGATCTGCATACTTGTAGTGCATTGGCCAAGTATTCACTTCTGCGTTTGTGCACTTGAGTAAAGTATGTTTCTGGTCTTAATTTATGACACTGTGTCCAAACCAGCTGCAACACCATAAAGGACGGAAGCTCTTTTATGTAGGGTGACCATCCGTGCCATTTTCCCATTGTCCTGGCCAGGATTTCTATATTGCCTAAAATATCTAGGTTTTGGCTTTGTTTGCGTGTGCAGACCGATCAGTGTATGACATTAAAATACCATACAGACGGTTCCTTATGCTTTCAAAATGCTCTCGAGGTATTTTGATGTCATACACCGATCGGTCTGCACATGCAAACAAAGCCAAAACCTCTAGAGATATTTTAGGTAATATAGAAATCCTGGCAAGGACGCACGCGTCCTGGGAAAATGGCACGTATGGTCACCCTATTTTATGTAAATCTGAGTTTCTGGAAAGCCCCACCCACAATGCAATCTCATTGGTCAAAATTCTGTATGTTAAACATCAAGTATGCCCAATTAGCTGTAATTGTGTGGATTTTCATTTTCAGGAAACTTAATCTGTTGCACCTGGTAAGGGAACAGTGTGAGGCTTTTTGCTGATAAACCAAGCAAACCATCTAGAAGATGATATTGGTCTTGAATGAAGGGATTTGCACGTGCTATCATGTCGTTTCCCAAGTGTCATATGTTTTTGTCTTTTTCTTGTAGCATCTTTCACTTTTTATCTAGCGAACACATTTCCTGAGCTCGGTTCAGCCAAAGGCACCGATGACAATGTCATTAGCTTTGTGTCTCTCGACAACTCAGAGATCCCGTTCTCTGGGAGCGGATACGAGGATCCCACTGGCACCTTGACTCTGTCTAATGTCACATCCGAAGGATTTGATCTTGTGTGGGAGTCAAATAAACACATTGGCTATGATAGTTACACTGTAGAACTTAAAGATTTCTCAGGGAAATGGAAGGAGGAGGTTCATCTCCATGGGGAGGTGAATGACACTAAAATCCGTGGCCTAAAGGCTTCCACGGAGTACCAAGTAAGGCTTTATGGAATATCCAATAACCAAAGATCTTCAATACTAGAAGCAGTTGCAGTTACAGGTATAAACTTTCTTTTGGGTTTCACGTCATCTGTTTGATTTAGCGCCATTGCAACTTTAAGAAATGTACTGTAAAACGTTTTTTTGTGAAACTCATAGGTTTAAGAATGGAATGACACAAGTTTTGCATGACATACAATATGCAACTGCTCCCATTTGTCATATGGTAGAGCGCAAAGACGTGCATGATGATGCATCAGGATATGGATGTGTATTTGGGCTGGGTGATACAACAACAAAAAAAATTGTATACTTTGATACTTTTCAGACTTTTTAACGGTATACAATATTTTTTACAATATTTAATTAAAAAAAAAATTGTTTGTTTTTCAATAAGAGGAGCCATCATTTTAACAATCATTGTATCCAAATTTTTTTTTTTTTTTACATAAATACATAAAAATTTCATGCAGGAACTTTCATGACTTCCCTGAGACAAATATTTATTGATTGATTGATTGAATTAATTTAATTGATATTTCTTTTAAGTAATATTTACTACAATATTTAAATAAATGTTTAACTTTTAACCAAACATTTTAATGCCTAAAAATTACGTACATATAGCCTACTATATAAAAATGCCATGCAGAGGCTTCTTGACTTCCATAAATCATATTGGTTCAGGCATTGAACTTTAATGCTGTTTTTGCTATTGAGATATTTTATTTTATTTTTGCTTCTTTTTTTCCAGTATTTTATATTTTTGCTTAATATGTATATTTAGCATATCACCCAGTCTAGTGCACATAGCTGCTTATTGGCTCAGACAAGGAGATCCACAATCCACAAGTTTTTGCAGTGGTTCAAATTATTAATCCTCATAACAAACTAAACTGTGTGGTAAAAAATGCATGAAAGGCTGATAAGCACTGAATATTGTTTGTGACTTGCTAAAACTCTCAAAATCGACTTCATGCATGTCCTTTTCTCAAAACATCTTGAAGTCTGCATGGATTATCCATCAGCCTGAAGCATCCCATGTACTTCCACTCTAGTGGACTACTTGGAAACTTCAGCCATTAATGGCTCATGGTCATTAATGTCAGATGTTTTCAGATACATGCATGTAGACTGAAATAAGCGGTAACATCATTTGCATGTGAAATGAGATATATTGCATGCAGTGTAACTCAAACCTCAGCTTACATTGAAAAACTGAGGGGCGAATTCACTAAGAAATGTTTCTTTAAATACTCACTTCACAGTGCTATTGCTATGCATTTCGTATAATTTTCTTTTAGTTTTTTTCTCTCTTTGAATTTTGGCGTACAATGACAAATACCAGTGTTATTTTAATATCAGTGAGATAATATTAGCCTAGTTTTTATTTTTGTATGTTACGTTTTCATTTTAATTTTCGTCAAAGGTATTGTAATTTGTTGTGTGTGTTTGTCATTTTTATTAGTTATGTTTTTTTGTCTATATAGGATCTTTTCATTTTTTATTTATAATATGTGTGTGTGTGTGTGTGTGTGTGTGTGTGCGCGCGTGTGTATGTATATACATTTTAGTTTATAAAAATATATATTTTTTACATTTATTTTATTTTAAGTAACATATTTATTTATTTTTATGACAGACATGAGGAAATACTCATGTTAAAGTGCTTGTTTAGTGAATTCGCCCCTCATGGCACTACAGTTAGAGTATGATTAACCATCACACTATTTAAAAACAATTATAAAATGTACTTTTGATTATTTCAAAAGAAATGAATTTGCAGTTATTTATCATGCAAATCAGAAAACCACCTCCCAGGATAAACAGGAGATTAATGGTAGATTACTTTTTTTTTTGTGCAGTTAGTTAATGATTATTTAACCTCTTGTTTTTACAGGTAAATCTCTGCTAATTTTGTCTTGTCTTTAATCTCTGACCTTAAAAACACTGAATACTTTCCTCTATAGCACCAAAGTCTACCTCTCCTGATGTTGTTGCTTTGACCTTCACAAGTGTTTCAACAACGCTACCAAGCCTCCATAAGGAGGTTCAGCCATCAGTCTCTACCTCCACTCTTTTAACAGAGGATTTTAAAGCTGAAGCCTCAGGTGATGAACTCGAGGACCCGAATCAAGGGCCTCCGGGTGACCTAAACGTCACCGATGTGAGCAGGAATAGTTTGAGGCTGTCTTGGTCAGCTCCTGATGGAGCCTTCGATAGCTTCATCGTTGAGTTGAACTCAACATCAAATAAGTCCAAAGACAGTGTTATTGAAGTGTCTGGAGAAGCCAGGCAGGTCCATGTAGATGGACTGAACCCTGACACGCTTTATGAGATTACATTGTGTGGGATGAAGGAGGGCGAGAAATCCCAACCAGTCAATGTTCACATCAAGACAGGTACATGGACATGAGCTTCAGAAACCACAGTCATCCGTCATCCACTCATTCATTCATTCAAAGTCATTCTTAAAAAGTAAAAGCTATCCCTTGGGAGCAGTTCTGCAGGCGTAAGACGGTTGGTGGAAAAATAGTGTTTTTACACTAAAAACCAAGTCCTTTTGACGTCACAGTTCGGTTTATTTGGTTAGTTTAAATTATTTTTGGGTCCACACCAAGAAACCACACCTAGTTTGCTTGAAAAATGGCTGTGGGCTTTGGTTTATGTGGACTACCATGACTATAATGAAAGCAGTCCAGTAGAACTGAAACACTGTTGATAATTGTCTGCTGTCGCACTTGCGAGTGTCATTTTGTGCATGCTAAATATTTAGTTGAACACTAGCATTAAAAATTTTGGGGTCAGTAATATATGTAAATTTTTTTATGTTTTTATTCAACTGGGACACATTAAATAAGTGTTATTTTTTTAATATACTTTGATATACTCTTAATAGTTTTGTGATTATCATTTTGAATTTAGATTTTATTTGTATATATTTTTTTAATTTTCATTTTAAGTTTTGTTTTTGTATATATATATATAATAGTTTCAGTTTTTAGTTTTAGATCATTTAGTTATTTTAGTTAATTTACTCAGTTATTTAGTACTTCAACTTAAACTGAACAAAAGTGATAAATGTTTTTATAAAAAATATTGTATCTTAATTAATGTTGTTATTTTTTAAATAATGAAAATGGAATAATGAAATTTTATTAATTTTGATGAATTTTTTTTTTATGGTTTTAGTTTTAGTTAACTATAATAACCCTAAAAAGTGAAAGTAAAGACATTTATAATGTTACAAAAGATTTCTATTTCAAATAAATTCTGTTCTTTTGATATTTAAATTCATCAAAGAATTCTGAAAATAAGTATCACGGTTTCCAAAAATGTTAAGCGTCCCAACTGTTTTCAACATTGATAATTATCAGAAATGTTTCTCGAGCAGCAAATCAGAATATTAGAATGATTTCTGAAGATCATGTGACACTGAAGACTGGAGTAATGATGCTGAAAATACAGCTGCGCATCACAGAAATAAATTACATTTTAAAATATATTACAATAGAAAACAGTTATTTCAAATTATAATATTGCATAGTATTACTGCTTTTACTGTATTCTTGATCAAATAAATGCATCCTCGATGAACAGAAAAGACTCATTTTAAAAATCTTACCGACCCCAAACTTTTGAACTGTAGTGTATATTAAACATCAAATATTGTTCAAAATGCATTTTCTCCAATCAAACCCATATTCACTTAACATTTTAGTTACTCCCCGAGATATGATCTCAGTACCTCTAGTGCCGCAAAACACTTGCAGAATTGTTTCTGTACTTTTCATGAGAAGACTCCCCTTGGGATTATAGCATGATACAATGAATATAATGTTTTATCTGATCATTCTGGATGATTATTTCTCAACATGAATGAACACCGTCTCTCTGTGCCTCATGTCTTTATCCATATCATTTCATTCCATCTATTAACTGTTTTATCTGTCACTACGTTACGCCAGTGGCACTGGCAAGTTCAGCTCATTTCATTATGCAAATGTAATTAATTTCAGTGACAATAACTCATGTCTGATTTCTTTGTCCGTCAGAGGAGCAGAGGCCGCAGATTGGCAGTCTGAGTGTGTCTGATGTGTCTTGGGATAGCTTCAATGTGTCCTGGACCATTGAGGATGACTCTGCCTTTGACAGTTTTGTGATTGAAGTGGCAAATGCAGCAGGTCCAGAAAGACAGGACCTTTCGGTATCTGGTGATGCACGTAGTTTATGGATGTCTGGGCTCAGTCCCGACACGTCCTATATAATTACACTGTACGGAGTGCATCAGGGCTCGATCCTGGGATCGATCTACACTCAAGCAGCTACAGGTACCCTTGCTTACTTGGATATCCCTGCTGAAAAAGAGGTGCACTTTAGCAGACTTTTTAAACAGTAATTATTACGGAAATATACTTCAGGGCAAACTGAATGTAATGTTTTCATTTTCACATTTGCATTTAGAATTTAGAATCATAGTTTAAATTTATATTAAATGCAGTTAGTTGAAGTTATATATATATATACTGAATAAAATAAGCACTTATTAGCAGTGTCCCTATATTTAATTAATTATCATAAATATTATACTAATATTTCACATATTAACTGAATATATTTCAGAATATATATGTTACAATTATTTGCATGGTACGAAATGTTACAAATATACATTATTAATATAATGCTTCAATATGAATAATATATTTTGTATTGTTTTACATATTAAATATACTCTTACACTTAATAATTATTATAATATATTGATATTATATTACTATAATACTTCATATTAATAATTTTACATAATAAAATGATGCTTAGTAAAGTAATTTATTATCCTAAATACATTAATATTTGATTAATATTATATTATCTTCAAGTATTTTATTTTTTTTAATATATAGGTTTAAGCTTTGGCACACACTACAAGTGCACATTTAGTGCAATTAAGTGCACTTCTTTTTCACAAAGGATGGGACATCCATTATCTATCATGCCTTCTTTCCTTCACCTTTTCTCTCTTTCCAACCTTTTTTTTTCTAGTTGGGAGCTGTGGTGTCAAGCAGGCGCTTCTGTGCTTTAACGTTTCCTTTTAATTTTTCACGAAACCCAAACATCTTTGTTGCATGGGGCCGTTGAGAATGATGAACGAACACTTAATGGTGTCCATCATAATTTGTTGATTGTGAAATGACTTCTTTTAACAAAGCTAACTGATTGTCACCTCTACTGTTCCAGCCACTGTGTCGGTCTGTCCTCAAAGTCGATTGCGTTGGGGCACAGAATATGTTGTGTTTCCATTCATTTCCTTCCACTGAAATCAAAGCTTTGTGTTGAACAGTAATCATTGTCCAGCATTATCCTATCATCCATTTCATCCAGCTGCCCAAATGCATGGCACCAGAACCCATCTCACACATTTACCACATTGTGGTGAGTTTTGATGAGCTGCAGTGATTGCAACATATTTCATCCTCTTACATAGAATTTCATTCACTTTGTTGTGATCTCATCATCTACTTGCATCATTTCAAACAACTTTTGATTTAATATTGAAGCAATGTGCAAGGTCCATTTTGATTTTTGTTGATTTTGAGGACTTTCTATGTCTGGGCTTCCAAACATTTTTTGTCAGTCAAACCTTTGGCCTAAAATATTTTATGAAGTAAGTATATTTTATAGGCAAGGCAAGGAAAGGCAAGTTTATTTGTATAGCACATTTCATACACAATGGTAATTCAAAGTGCTTTACATAAAATAAATGAAAAAAGAATAAAAAAAATAATCACAACAATAAGACAAGGAATTTAAAACTTTGAAAATTATTAAAAAAAAATAGATTTAAGAGGGTTAAAATGAATTTAAAACAGTTAAGAATAGAAAATGATTATACATAAAATATAGTGCAATCAGTATAGGTTAATATTTCAATAATTTAGCAACATTTTTGCATGTTCACATGTCTCTGATGCTGGTTAATCATCATATGATATGCAGGTAAACCATTGAAAATTAAATATTTTTGTATTGAAAATATATATATTTTTATATTTTCAATGTTTTAATTAGATTTTTTTATTTTACAATTATTTCTTTTAATTGTAAATTTGTAATTAATTAAAAAAAATGTAAAAACCTTTTTAAGAAAAAAAAATCAAATTAAAAGATCATTTTAAGTAAAAATCAAAATTAAACAATTATTAAAAGTTATTCAGCTATTATTAAACAAAACATTTTAACTTTCAAAAAAAAATTAAATGAGTTATTTATTGGCTTGATAGCTAATCTTTCACATTATAACACTATAGATCTTTTTTTGTTTGTTTTGTTTTAATTATCAATGCTTTAATGTAATAAAAGTAACAATATGATTTAGCGAACAATAAAAATTCATTAAACAGTATTTTAATAAATTATAATAATTTTTTTTATAAAATATCACACTAGTTGAAATAATAGGTAATTAAATATTAACTAATAATTACATTTAATAATTAAATAATCAAATGATTAAAATAGTTTAATCGTAAAATAGCATCATCCAAGCATTATCTTATACTGCGCATGAAATGCTTCATATGCACTAACCCAGAATTCTTGTTAACCTGTTTTGACACTACAGTGAACAAAAACAACAAAACAGCCTCAGAATTCATAACTAAAAAAATACATTCTTTTGTTTTCTTATCCTTTTTTAACATTTGTTCTGCTTTTGTTTCCTGCCCAGCTTTCGTGTTTGACATCCTGCATCTGCAGCGTGTAAGCAAAGCATATACAGAAAATTAAATGATTTCTGTCTTATACTGAGTATGTTCTTTAATATCAAACAAATTATCATTTTTGAATTGCCTTATTTATAATTTTTTTATGATATTCATTACAAAAGTTATCATCATGAAACCTAATTTACATAAGAAAGCATGTTATGCTTGCATGCAAAAATAAATATGCTCTGTTTGCATGCTGCAGACGCGGGGTATGGGAAACAGGCCTAATCCGGCAAGGTGCATCATAAAACTTAATCCATAATACTAGTCAGTATTCATAGCAGTTCTTACAGGAGAAAAGCAATTTCCTTTAATTAATCTGTCATTAGTTTCTCAGTTAAACAGAAATAATACATGCAAATTATGCATATTTTACAGGAAGTGCAACTGCGCTATTCCAATAACCGTTTCTCCCTTTAGATAGTGCTCCAGTGGTTGGCAATCTGTATGTTTCTAATTTTACATCAGAGAGCTTCTCCATTTCATGGAATGACACGAGAGGAGATATTGAGAGGTTTATCCTGGAGATTATAGACTCTAGCTGGCAGCGGGAGCCAGTCGAATATAATCTGTCACAAAGCACACAGTCGTATGAAATCACTGGGCTACGGCCGACTACTGACTATATAGCTTACCTCACTGGAGTCGTGAAGGGAAGGAGAACAGACTCCGTCAGTGCTGTCGCCACCACAGGTAACTGCAATTCTCTCGTTTCCTTGCTGTTTTCCCCCGTTTGTTTATATTGGAAATGATAAATCAGGCCTTAAAGGAGTACAGTAGTTCAACCAAAAGATCACATTTACTCATGTCATTCCAAATCCGCATGTTTTCCCCTTCTTCATATGTTGCAAATCTCTCTAAAATGGATCTATATAACTCAAGGACTAGAAGTCTTACTGCTGAAGTCATATGATAGCTTTGTGTCAGAAACATGCAAAATTGAAGATGTAAATCACTGAAACTTTTACCTTCTGCTTGTGCACGTTGAAATCTGGTGCCTCAAGATGTTGCGTCAGGTTCGACTTGTACATGACACTCGTGACTAAATGAAGTCTGTTACGCACAGCTAGCTAACAGAGAATATTCTCATAACGTTCTGGCAAGGATCTCTTCAAGTAATGTTTATTCAAAGTTATCTGGTCTGTAATAACGTTCTCAAAGCATTAGCACAAAAACTATTTATACATCATTCATATTTATGGATTTTCATCTAATTTTCTTGTTTTAGAACATTCAGAAAAATAACATTTTCCTACAAAATAGGAAAATGAAATGTTCCCTTAATGTTCACAATACACTCTCAGAAAAAAAGGTACAACAGCTGTCACTGGGGCGGTACCTTTTCAAAAATTAGGTACTTTTAGGTACTAATATGTACACTTTAGGTGCTTATACCTTTAAGGTTGCATTATGGACTCTTTTGGTACAAAGGTGTGCCTTTTGAAAAGGTACCGCCCCAGTGACAACTTTGTACCTTTTTTTCTGAGAGTGTAATGTTTTTAAAGCATTTTGAACATTCAGAGAACACCGAAATAACGTTTTCATACTTCATACTTCTTTTACTTAACTTAATGGAAATTTTTACGAACATTGATATTTTTGTTAGTAGTGGACATGGAGTATAGTGCACAAGTTGTATGCAGTATTTTTAGTGTTTTTTGTTTGGTCAAAGTTGAAAACGTTTAACAGTAATGTTCCCATAATTTTTGCAAATTGATAAAATGGAATGTTCGCTTAACATTCGCAATAACAAGAAAAATGTTTAAACATTTAAAACACTGGATGTTTTGAATATTCAGAGAACATCATAACGTTAATAGAACGTGCATTCAAAGTTATCCGGTTTTTAATAATGTTCTCAAAATGTTAGCACAAAAACTTTATTTATATATTCATGTTTTTAAAAACATTTTAGTTGGACGTTCATCTAATGCTTTTAAATATAACTTGTTTCAGAACGTTCAGAGAACATTCAAAAGTAACATTTTCATAATGCAAAATGAGAAAATGGAATGTTCGCATAACCAAGAAACATTTATTTTTTTTCATTTAAAAATTGACGTTTTGAATGTTCAGAGAATGTTCTGAAATAACATTTTGGGAACATTAGTAGAACGTTCTTAGAACATATTTTTGTTAGGTGGGGAAAATAGTGCACAAGATGTATGCTCAACTTTCCCAACTAACAAAAATATGTTCTCACAATGTTTTGTTAACATACCCATTAAGTTATGAAAACATTTACAATGTTCAAAAACATCCAGGCTTTTTTTAACATCCCATTTTGCAAACATTATGGGAACGTTACCGTTAAATGTTCTCTGATGGTTCTGAAACAAGTAACATTTAACAAACGTTGGATGACTGTCCAACTAAAATGTTTCAAAAAAAAAAAATCTATGAATGTTAAATAATTTAGACTTTATTTAATTTAATTGAGTACATTATTAAAGAATTTTTTTTCATTTAAACATTGACGTTTTGAATGTTCAGAGAATGTTCTGAAATAACATTTTGGGAACATTAGTAGAACGTTCTTAGAACATATTTTTGTTAGGTGGGGAAAATAGTGCACAAGATGTATGCTCAACTTTCCCAGCTAACAAAAATATGTTCTCACAATGTTTTGTTAACATACCCGTTAAGTTATGAAAACATTTACAATGTTCAAAAACATCCAGGCTTTTTTTAACATCCCATTTTGCAAAGAAAAATTACTTTTATTTATTACTCCAATATGGCTTCATTTTTTTTACAATATATATGTATATGTGTGTATGTGTATACAAACACCCACACACATACATGTATATATTTAATTATAATTCTGAGTCCTGAGTTGAAATTGTTTGCTGTGGCAATTGACTGCAAACCACAGATGCTTTTTATAGACATTAAAGCAAATAACCCAGCATATTCCTACTGTATTAAACTTCCAGTTTTCACTTGTTTCAGCTGTCGTTAAGTTTCGTAACAATACCCAATACTCTTTTTCATTCATCCAGAGCCGAAGCCTAAATTGGGCCCCATTGTGGTGTCTGAAACACGGCCGAATAGCTTGACGCTGTCCTGGAGCACACTGTCAGGCCACTTCGATGGCTTTGCTGCTCGTGTCACTGACCGTGAGCAGCTGTATGATGTTGTAGAGCTCAGGCTGTCAGGTGCAGAGAGGAACCTTACTGTCACGGGTCTTATGGACTCTACGGTTTATGATATAGTGTTTTATGGTCTGTCTCGTGGCCGTCAAACTCCAGCAGTTTCCTTCAATACCAGTACAGGTACTGTGCAAGTTTTTCATGCTTCTATCACAACAAATCAGAACTTTGACAGAACTAACAATTTTTGCATCCGGTTAGAACTAGTTGCAAGGAAATTTCTGAAACTGCCTGTGACTATTTATTTATTTAGCATACTTGCATGTATGTAATAATTTACATGGTTACTTTAATAACTCTATAGGCCTTTTTACACCAAGTGAGATTTTGTAAAAATATAAAACTGGATCCTCTTGTCTGTGTCCAAAACAAAAACAGATTTAATTTGTATATATATACATATACATACATACATACATACATACACACACACTTTTTTTTTTTTTCTACTTACTGGTTTGTGATAATTTGTCATGTTGGTCTTGGTGTAAATAGATCTTGAAAAGCTATTTTTTTCCCTTGTGGTTTTGCGTTGTATTCAGTGACCTGAGATTTTAGTTTCAGGCGCTTTCGTAGACAATAGATATATTACAAATGGCTTGTGTTCAGATGCAGTTTCAGTTTGAAACTTAACTTGCCCTGCTTAAGAAAAAGAAAGTAGTATTTGCAATGTGGAAACTCATTTTTGCATCAGTCTGAGCTCATGTTGTCTAATGACATTAACATTGCACCCACTGAATGCTCTATTATTTTACATGGAGAAACCAAGAATGCAAAGCTCATACAATAGCTTAATACTGACAAACTGATGAGAAACATTTGACATACAACAAGCTATTTTGACCTTGCAATCACTGCAGAATCAATTATACATCCTCACCCTGTATTGTCCCCTCCTATAACACTGCAACCACGGGACCCAAATGAATGCTGTACCACGTAACGCAGTGTCATTACCTAGAGTGGAAAATCTCACGGTTTCGGATATTACCCCATACGGATTTCGGGTGTCCTGGGCGGCAGACTCCTCTGAGGGCTTCAGGCATTTTCAGGTAAAGGTGTCGGACTCTGGCCAGCTGCTGGAGCCGCAAGAGTTCGTAGTGCCGGGGAACCAGACCGTACTGGATGTTTTGGGCCTGATCACTGGCATTGGCTATGAGGTCAGTGTGACCGGGGTGTCAGGGAATGGGTTACAGTCTCGTCCAATCACCACAGTGGCTGTTACAGGTACCGCTCTCTGCTTTTTTTTTTTTTTTTCAACTGCACGTCACTCCTTCACATTAAACGTTTCACTGCCCAAGCTTGATAGTTTTTAGTTTTTGTTGAAGAGCTAAATGTTTTAGTATGTAACAAATATTTTACTGCTATTGCAGTTTTTTTCAGGGGTTGTATGCACAAGACATGTTCAAGTGTGTGATGGTTTCTCTCTGTTAATGTGTTGTAGACACACACAACGCCATGACAAAAACCTGACGAATTGTACAGTTTCTACAGTAAACACTCAATATGCTCAATATACTTTTCTTGCCCCAGCTGCTGCTTCTGATTGGTCACCCCTTTTAAAATCACAGTTTTATTCGCTGCAAACGAAATCTTTTAAATGTTGTGTTGTGGTCCATTGATGTTTCCTTCGTCATTTTTCAGAAGTTTATATTTGGACACACATTTTGCTGTTGTCAGTGTTTTTCTGCACAACAATCAACATTCACTGCACAAAAGATACTACTTAATGCATTTTTTTTAATCTTCTTTTTTTTAATCCACTTTTTTTTTCAAATGGTTTTCCAGAAAAATCAGTGTTAAAAATCAGAAATCAATATGCATCTTTAAAAAAGTAATAAAGGAGAGAGAGAGAGAGAGAGAGAGAGATACTACTTAATGCATTTTTTCATTTTTGTTTATTTTATTTTATTTTTTTGGAAAATTGTGAATATTAATTCTTGTGTAGAGAAGACACTGATTTTTCTGGAAAACCATTTTTTAAAAAGACAATAAAAAAAGAAGTACTATATTTTGTGCAGTGAATGTTGATACTTAAAAACAATCTCCCAGTACAGTAAGGCAAAATAGTCTAAAGTCTTAATACATAATGCAGTGTTGCTTCTCAACTATATTTATGTGCTTTCAAGGCTGCATAGTTATATATATATATATATATATATATATATATATATATATGTATATATATATACATATATGTGTGTGTGTGTATATATGTATATATATTTATTTCAGTGTGATAGATTTTTTCCCCAAATTTTGATTGCAGCAAAAATACATTTACATGTGTTGCTTCAGCTGCGGATTCCTTTGCAGTTTACAAACTGATCTAGAAAGTCACAAAACTAAATACTAACCAGAAGTCATAGGACACATGCAGATAACAATAAAAAGCACAGATGAACATGTCCTGTGTTTACACGTTATTTTAGATGTCTGCTGTTTGATATAAGCTTTGGTTGGGAAACTCCTACACAACTCCGCTACCTCCTCAACACTGTCCTTTGTTGATTTGCCAGGTCTCCTCCATCACTAAAGCATTTTGCTTTGTTTCTAGTACTGCTCGTTAGAACAGTACATGCTTCGCTGGTCCCATTGCCTCAAAAATATGAGCATACACATACGTGATGCCATATTTGAACTGTGTTTTCTACTGAATGGCGGGCAAAACTGTTTATAATAAAAACATGTTATAAGAACATTGTGCTAATGGTCCCATTAAGTTAAGAGAGCATTATTTCTGATTTTTTTTTTTAATTATTTTTATTATTTTTTTATTTAACTTTTTTTTTCCTTGGTTATTTTATTTTAGAGCAAACATCAAGGGAATGTTACATTTTGTTACAAAATGTTACTTTTGAATTTTCTCTGTACCATCTGAAACAAGTACAGTAGCAAGCAGTAACATTTAAAAACATTAGACATACATTCAACTAAAATGTTTCAGATACCTTTAAATTAACATCATATTAATGTAAAATGTATTAATTTAAATTATACAAATATTATTATAGTATTGTATAAATGTTTTTTTTAAACAAAATAATGTAAACTAATAGTTTTGTAATCATTTTCTCTGAACCATCTGAAACAAGTAGCAAGCTAAATGTGTAAATAACATTTTGGTGCCAACATTTCAATAACATATAGTTTTAAACAAATGTTCTTTGAATGTTACTGGAAGAACATTGCCAGAACCTTCCCTGTTAGCTGGCCAGCAGCCCATATGGAAACACAGTCTTATATGAGGCCGCAAACCACAGTCATGCATGAAATCACTGTAAAGTGGGAAAGAGAGTCTTATGTAAGTGGCATGCTTGATTTGCAATGCCATTTACAATATTAACTGGCGTCAAAAGTCATTTACGTTGCAGCTATGCGTATGGGTAGTTATACTCATACTTGATGCATGTGGAATGCATGGAGACACACTCGAGTCTGTCTCAAACTCTTGTTAAAACAAGAAAAAGACACATGTCCCTTACTTGTCAATCAGAGGCAGAGCCAGAGATCGAGCACCTTTTCGTGTCGGACGTCACCCCTGAGAGTTTCCGGCTGGCCTGGACGGCAGAAGACGACATGTTTTAACAGGCACTCCCATGATCCTGACAGCGGACGGGTCACAGTCTCAGGTTTCGCTGACAAATCTGATCCCCGGAGAGGCGTATCAGATGTCGGTTGTTGCAGTGAAAGGTCTGGAGGAGAGCGAACCAGTGTCCGACACTTTTACGACAGGTTGGTTTAGTAACTTATCCGGTTAGTGGTGTTTTCTAAGATAAGCATCACTTTTACTCAAACTGAGTGTTAATGATCTGAAAACAAAACCCTAAACCTAAATATATATATATTATTATATCATATCAAATTATATATAATGTAACAAATCAGTATTTAATGTACTTGCAAATGTGAAGACATGAAAATACATCAAATGTATTCAAATAAATTATATAAATATTATATCATTGTATAAATATATAGTCCTTATTTTATATATAACTATTTTTTTTATTAATTTTATTTGATTTAATATGCTATATTTGTTTGTTTTACATTAGTTTTTACGTATCAAAGTATGAATTATATAAATAGTATTGTATAAATATATTATATTAAAATCATAACGAAATAATGTCATTTTATTATGTGTATATATGTATGACAGAGAGGTATTCATGTACATCAAATTGAATATAGTTTATACAAATAATACTGTAACAAAGTAATGTTTTTGTTTTTTAATGTATTATTTTATTATTTGCCTCCAGCCCTGGATACGCCACGCAGCCTGACTGCTGTCAATGTCACTGACACAAAGGCGCTGTTGCTGTGGCAACCTGCCGTGGCGACCGTGGATGGATATGTGATCACATACAGTGCAGACACAGGTGAGGAAACTCCTCTGTTGCTCTATTTTGGGTTTCTTTATTCGTGTTTGACTTGTCTGCGTTGTCTCTGCTGCTGTTCCCCCCGAGTAGAGCAGAAATAGTTTTAGATATCTCAGTATCGTGTGTCACACTGCAGGACACTGCTGTCACTGCCTGACATGTCAACAACCCGAAATAAACCCACATCTGTTGTTCAGTTGTTATTTTTCATCACTTTGAGTTTTATAGAATCATTTCTGATTCTTGTGTTTATCTGCACAGTGCCACCGATATCAGAGCAGGTTTCTGGAAACACGGTGGAGTTTGAGATGAGCTCACTGGCTCCAGCAACTCAATACACTGTCAATGTTTACGCCATCAGAAACCGAGAGAAAAGCACTCCGGCGACCACAGACTTCACTACAGGTGAGAGGAGCTTCAGCCATGTCTGCTGCTCCAGCGCTCCCTACAGGCTGCATCTAATACAGCGGCACACCTTTACTGAACACTTTACTGTAAATGGGGGACTCGGCATGTAACCCTGGACCACAAAACCAGTCTTAAGTGTCAATTTTTCAAAATTGAGATTTATACATCATCTCAAAGCTGAATGAATAAGCTTTCCATTGATGTATGGTTTGTTCGGATAGGACTATATTTGGTCGAGATAAAACTATTTGAAAATCTGGAATCTGAGGGTGCAAAAAAATCAAAATATTGAGAAAGTCACATTTAAAGTTGTCCAAATGAAGTTCTTAGCCATGCATATTACTAAACAAAAATTCAGTTTTGATATATTTACGGTAGGAAATTTACAACATATCTTCATGGAACATGATCTTTACTTAATATGCTTATACAAAAATCGATATTTTTGACCCATACAATGTATTTTTGGCTATTGCTACAAATATACCCCAGCGACTCCAGGGTCACAAATAATAGTGAAATTCTCTTATACATGTGCTGTTTTTTTTGCATATGTTTTCTATGCAAAACACACCTTTAACTTTAATATATCAACATTAATATTAACATAAAATATTTACAAGATTTTTAAAGAGATGTCGTCTTTTTTTTGTTGTGTCCTAATTGAAAATGGCAACCATTTAATGTATCACAATTTTTTTAAATAAATAATAGTAGTAGCAATAATGATGTTATGATGTTAGCTTTAATCCAGCTTTTAGTGTTTCGTTTTTTTAAAGTAATGTCCTATTATTTTATCTTACGTGTCCTGATCAGAAATGACAACCATTTAGTGTATCATAAAAATGTATAACATTATTAATAATAATAATAATGTTATGTGTTTTATTTTTAAGAAATGTTCTGTCATTTTGTCATATGTGTCCTGATTGAAAATGAAAGACATTTAATCTTTCAGAAAAATACAAAATAATAATAATAATATTAAATATGTAATATTAAAAGCAGCATTAACACCGCTTTTGTTTTAGGTTTTTTTTTTTTTAAGAAATGTAGTATTAATTTCTCATGTGTCCTGATTGAAGATGAAAATCATTTAGTGCATCACAAATTATTATTATTATTATTAATACTATTAAAATATGATAGATAGATAGATAGATAGATAGATAGATAGATAGATAGATAGATAGATAGATAGATAGATAGATAGAATATAATGTACTATATATTCTATATAATATAATGAACTAATGCTGAATTGATCGATTCTGAAGAATAAATGCGTTTTTAATTTATTTCCTGCTCAGTCATAAGTCCTCTTACTGTCTGAATAACTGTGGCTGTGATCTGATTTCTCTGCTGTTATGTAGATGTGGACTCTCCGCGGGATCTGGTTGCCAGTAATATTCAGACAGACAGCGCCGTTCTCACCTGGACGCCGCCGCGCGCCGCCATCACCGGATATATCCTGACCTTTCAAGCGTCTGACGGCGATGTCAGGGTCAGACATTTCTCACATACTACTAACGTTCAGATGTTTCTAGCTACCCACTTCTGCTATTGGGCGTGTTACGCTTGTGGTAGAAGAATATAGGCCATATAAAAGGATTGTTCAACCAAAAACCAACTTGTGTTTGTTTACAACACAAACTGTTGACTTCTTTTTTTTTTTTTTTACTATACTGTATACAATTCATGCAATCATTTATTTTTAATCTTTATTTAAAAGATGAGGTTTTTTTTTACTGGTATTCAGATCGTAACTGCTGTATGTTCACACAGGAGCTGAATCTAGAGCCGTCTGCGACCTCACACAGTCTGTCTGATCTGAGCAGCAGCACTGAACACACAGTCCGACTGCAGGCCGTCGCTGAGGACAAGAGGAGCACACAGATCAGCACCGTCTTCAGCACAGGTCACACACTGCTGCTTTACTTACAGCTCAACTTCTACTCGAGCGCTGCTGCGAAAACTTTGTTCGGATCACCCTTAAAGTCACCATGAAATCAAAACAGCAATATTCCATTTAAAAAAGAATAATATCAGTTTCCAAGGCAACGTTTTTCTAATTTTTGATCTAAAATAAACAAACGATTTATTTCCCAGCTGTTTACCTTCACAGACATAACCGACTGTTTTTGTAACTCATGTGTTTTTAACGTAAACTTGTGTGTGTGAATGAGAATTTAGTTTAGTACTCACATGCTGTGACAGCCGCTTTCTGTGCGTGTGCTTCGGATGTGTGCGCTCAGAAAACCGTATATCTGAAGTTTAAACTCATATGGTATAAAACGCATGATTTCAGCGCGACAAACATGATAATCAGAACCAAAACAGATGTTTTTAGCAGATACCAGTTCTATTCTGGAAAAGGGGGCGGGGAGCAGCAGCTCATTTGCATTTAAAGACACAGGCCCGAAAAACAGCTTGTTTCTGCTTCCACTCAAAATAGGCATTTTCAAAATGATATAATAAATGATCTGTGGAGTATTTTGAGCTGAAACTTCACAGACACATTCTGGGGACACCAGAGACTTATATTACATATTGTAAAAAGGGGCATTATATGTCACCTTTAATTGTTCTAAAATAACACATTCTTTGTACATCATTATTTTTGTTCTTGTAATCTTTAATCAATAACATTAATGCTACACAATAGGGAAGAAAAGAGTATCACAGTTATTGTTTCATATATATATTGTGTACAGAATGTACTTTTTATTTAAATTTGGTTTTTAATTTGTATTTGTTTAGTTTTAGTTATTTTAGTTACTAAATAAAACCAAGAAGAGTTACTTTGACAATTAACTGAAATAAAATATTTACTTTTTAAAAAATATTTTATTTCATTTACTCTTTATTTTATTTCAAATAGTGGGGAAAAAATATGGTTTACAACAATAATAACCCTGCAATAATTAACAGGGTTCGTACAAGGTGCTTGAAGTACTTGAGTTTGACTTTTTAAAATGTAAGTCCTGGAAATCCCTTGAAAACAGCCATATTTATGAAAAGGTACTTGAATGTTTAAAAGGCAGTATATATGTATATAAATTAGTGTAAATTTTTGTTTTCGATAAAAAAACAATTGCTTCTTGCAAAATTAACGATACAGCTCATCTGATATAAATACAGAGCCTTTTCGCCTGGCTTTTAGCCACGCACGAGATCTCGCGATATTACTCCTTGAGGTGAAAAGTGGTCTCGCGATATCAGTAAAAAGTTGATTTTGTGGTAAAAACCTTTCTAAATATGTATAAATATGTGGTTTGTTGTACATCGCTATAAAAGTTCAAACCCTCGCTCTGAGTTTGCTTGTGTCCAAATATTAAAATTAAATGGATTTAAACGTCATTGAATCACGCTGTAAAGTGAAACATCACCAGGCCGTTGGGGCCCTCTGCAGGTATTTGTTATAATACTTAATGTACTTCAGTTGGTTATGTTCATATTATATATAGGCATATTATATTATGTATTTTAACAGTGTTGTTCAATAAAACCATGTGATTACTTGGTTTTGATACTTTATTTGAACCAATTATTATTGTCTCATCATTAGTTTTATATATATATATATAAAGTATAAAGCCTGTTTTTCACTTAGGTCTATTTTTATTACTAAAAAATATCAGATTACTCAATTGTCAAAATAATCAATAGATTACTTGAATACCAAGATAATCGTTTGTTACGGCTCTAGATCAGTTAAATATTTCAAAATACAACTACATTGTTTTGCTTTTTGTGATTAAAAGAGAAATATTTTGTCATTGACAATTTCATAAAAATATTATTAAATATTGTCTCGTTCTAGTAAACTAAGTATCTGTATTTTGTCTCATAAGTGTATTGTCACACCCCGGTGTATACGAGCATGATATAGCTCATAACTTTCCAAGTGTATGAGGAAGCTTTTACTCTTCAAGTCAATAGTAATAAAAAAATCACTTTGAATAAGGAAAGCGATAACTTTGCCTTAGTATCCTTTCAAGTTGCCACAGCCATTGCATGTTTTGCATGTGCTGCACTTTATTTGTACCATTTTGTTTTATTAGTTTATTTATTAGATTTTGAAAGATAATAACGATATTGTGATCTCTGATTTTAGTCCTTGAAAACCCCCCCCCCAAAAAAATAGTGCTTGAAAAGTCCTTGAAAGTCCTGGAATTTAATTTAGCAGTTTCTGTACGAACCCTGAATTAAGGTTATTTACTGTTTTATTGTGCAGTCAAATGTCATTTCTATGCATAAAGTTCTTTACAAATACATCCTCTTTTTGACTGTGAGAAAATGCACTCACTGTTCTTGTCATCTATGTTTGTTATCTGTGTCTGATTGTTTTCTTCCTCATATTGTGTGCAGTTGGTATGCGCTACAGGAACGGCAAGGACTGCTCAGAAGCTCTGATGAACGGAGAGACGTCCTCCGGGCCATACACCATTTACATCAGCGGAGACGAGAAGCAGCCGGTCCGGGTTTACTGTGACATGAGCACTGACGGCGGTGGCTGGATGGTGAGTCCAGATGAGCTGTTTACACTGGCTACTTCTGACGTAAAGACACACTGAGTTCCAACTTACACACTACTAAATATGTTGGAACGTACCTCTATGTATAAACTCAATGTTTATGGAAGCATCCGACCAGAAATAACAGCAGGAATAAAACAGCAGATTGACTGAATTGAATCAGTTATCTAATTTTACCTGGCAGACTTCAGTCCTTAAGACTTCACCCTCTTTTACATTTTAAGAGAGAGAACATTATTAGGATTTTTTTTTTTTGGCCCTTCATGACAAACCCGATGGAAGCATGAGGAATGGAGCATGGATATATATAGTGCTGTCAAACGATTAATCGCAATTAATCGCATCCAAAATAAAAGTTTTTGTTTGCTTAATATATCAGTGTGTACTGTGTATATTTATTATGTATATATAAATACGAAAACATGCATGTATATATTTAAGAAAAATGTTATGTTTATATATTAAATATGTGATTTTATGTCCATAGAAAGCACATTAGATGTAAGTAAAGTGTCTACTTTTAAGGTTTCAAATAAGTTTTTGGAGAATAAAATGTCAATTTGGTTGTGAAATAGTTACATTGTCATTCAGTGTAACACAATATTTATGTAAAAATTTAAACAACATGCTTATTCTGACGTGTACATATTAAAATATGTAAAAGAATAAGTGAGCATATTAAATTTGATTGTGTTTTAAATTAGTAAAAAATTCTTACTTGACACTAGGATAGTGGCACATTTTAAAAATGTAAAATTACAACTAATTAGTATTTGGGGTGAAGATAAATAATCTTTTAATATGTCATAAATAGATTTTGTTTTGTAGATTTTTGTCTCTTCTGTAAATCTAGGAAAAATGTATGATATTTAATTTTTTGCTCAGAAAAATTCAAACAAAATTGAAATTAAATTAAACCAATTTTTTTTTTTTGGGGGGGGGGACAACAATTTAAAGCAGTATTACACTTATTGTTTTTATGCTTAAACCCTTTTCGTCTTTGACCCATGTAAAACTATTCAACATTTTTGCTAATTGAAATATGTAAATATTAGATGAAAAACTTTTCAAAATTATGAAAATAATTTTCATTTAGCTTAAGTTTTTTAAACTGTAAAATGACTGAACAAAAATAAATGGAAAGAAAATAAAAACTAAAACTGAAATAATAGTGATATTTAAAACAAAGAAAAAATAATAAAAATGACAGGAGCACATAAAATGACTAAAAATGTAACAAATGAAAATTAAAAGTATTTTGTATTGATTTTAAAAGTCAACAAAGGTGTATGTTTGTAGAGTAATTTACAACAGCTTCGAACGCAGCTCAACCAATCAGAATCAAGGACCGGAACTCTCCGTTTTCTAAAGAACATTTTTTCACTATAAAAACTTTTTGTACAATAGAAAAGTTCCATGGATGTTAAAGGTTCTTCATAGAACCATCAATGCCAATTAAGAACCGTATCTCATGCAAATATGATGGTCATAAGGTCATTTCACCCTAGAATACATGCATACTTCATGATGCATCGTTCTTAAATGAGTGACACTATTTCATACCCAATGTTGGCAAAGGTTTTGTAATATTTAGCTTGTAATATTGTGTCTTTGTGTCTCTCTTTAGGTGATTCCTTGTCATATCACCAGAACAGACCCTTCTCCACCTATAACAATGACAATGACATTGCCGTCACCAACTGTGCCCTGTCCTACAAGGGAGCGTTCTGGTATAAAAACTGCCATCGAGTGAACCTGATGGGGAAATATGGAGACAGCAGTCACAGCAAAGTAAGTCATATTCTCCAATATTTTGGCCAATTACATTTTATATCAAAATGAATTTTACTGTTTTTTTTGTTTTTTTTAATTTTTAAAATAAAAGTTCAATAACAAACATGATCTGACTTTTCTCAGTAAAATAGACAAAAATATACATACTTTACAATAAGGACCCATTAGTTCATGTCAGTTAATGCATTAACTAAAAATCAGCAGCACATTTGTCCTGGTATTTATTAATTAGCAGTAATTATTTATTGTGTTAATAAACATACAACTGTTTATTGTTAGTTCAGCTCCATTAAATAATATGAACAAATAGAACTTTTGGTTTTAAGAATGTATCGACTAAGATTGACAAATGACATTTTTCATTGTTCATTAGTTCCTTCTGAATGTGGGTCAAAGGTGTTAAGATGTCCGCATCAAAAGAAATGTACAAAAGTGATTTTATGTCCATAGAAAGCACATTAGATGTAAGTAAAGTGTCTACTTTTAAGGTTTCAAATAAGTTTTTGGAGAATAAAATGTCAAAATTTGGTTGAAATAGTTACATTGTCATTCAGTGTAACACAATATTTATGTAAAAATTTAAACAACATGCTTATTCTGACGTGTACATATTAAAATATGTAAAAGAATAAGTGAGCATATTAAATTTGATTGTGTTTTAAATTAGTAAAAAATTCTTACTTGACACTAGGATAGTGGCACATTTTAAAAATGTAAAATTACAACTAATTAGTATTTGGGGTGAAGATAAATAATCTTTTAATATGTCATAAATAGATTTTGTTTTGTAGATTTTTGTCTCTTCTGTAAATCTAGGAAAAATGTATGATATTTAATTTTTTGCTCAGAAAAATTCAAACAAAATTGCAATTAAATTAAACCAATTTTTTTTTTTTGGGGGGGGGGGACAACAATTTAAAGCAGTATTACACTTATTGTTTTTATGCTTAAACCCTTTTCGTCTTTGACCCATGTAAAACTATTCAACATTTTTGCTAATTGAAATATGTAAATATTAGATGAAAAACTTTTCAAAATTATGAAAATAATTTTCATTTAGCTTAAGTTTTTTAAACTGTAAAATGACTGAACAAAAATAAATGGAAAGAAAATAAAAACTAAAACTGAAATAATAGTGATATTTAAAACAAAGAAAAAATAATAAAAATGACAGGAGCACATAAAATGACTAAAAATGTAACAAATGAAAATTAAAAGTATTTTGTATTGATTTTAAAATCACTTGTCAATTTTGAAATTAACTAAGATTAATAAACACTGTAGAAACATAGTATTTTTCCCTTGGAAATATAATCCTTAAAAGTCTTTAGGTTCAATAATGCTAGATTCCCCCAAATAATATTTGAGTTAAGTATTTTACGCCCCTTCATACACTTTTCAACCCAACTTTGGGTCAAACATGGACTAACCCAGCTGTTCGGTTACATTTTTTAATTAAATTTTGAACCCAACAGTTGGGTTAATCCATATTTGACCCAAAGTTGGGTTGAAACAACCCAGCATTTTTTAGAGTGTAAGTGCATATAACAGTGAAATGCTTTGTAGCATATTTAATAAATTAAATGAAACTATTTGAATTCACAGGGCATCAATTGGTTCCACTGGAAAGGCCACGAGCATTCGATTCCATTCGCGGAGATGAAGATCCGGCCAGTCAATTTCAGAAACTTGGAAGGCAGACGGAAAAGATCATAGACTTTAAATGCCCCTCTTTCTCTTTTCTCCAAAATCCCACACATCTCTCGTCACAGACAGATACGATTAGATCTCCTGAGTAAAAAATTTCTAGCCATTTGAGCTCTGCTTTCCATGTCAACATTATTATCATCATTAGAGACAGAATATGTTATAAACGGCCGTGAATGGTGGAGGGTTTTCCATAAACTTGGTAAAAACAGGCACGTGAAATGTGATATTTCTTCCTATAACAAACCTCCATTTTCAGAATGATTCAAGGAAATCTTCAATGATCTTATACAGTTCTTGTTCAGAAGTGGTCATTTCCTCTACTGAATCATTACCACGCTCAGGTCTGGCATACAGTAGCCAGGATGGTGCAAATAAGCGTGTTCATTTTGTCAGCAACACTTCAATGTGATTGTTTTCTGAAAGGATTGTATTATGTATTATTGATCATTTGTTTTAAAATTTATTTTTATTTAGTTTTCTTTTCCCCCATAGAGTTCTCAGTAATTATAATCACTAAAGAAAGTGTTGATTAAACTTGATCTCTTCTCCTGGAATGTGTCTAAAATTGATCTTCAACAAAATAAAAAATAAAAATGTAATTTTTAATGTTGGGATTTTTATGTGATGTCAATTTCTCTTTACCTATCTACAAAAAACAAAATAAATAAATAGACGTTTTCACAGAGAAATGTGTTTTTTAACAATTAATAATAACATAAAATATTTTTTTAAAAACAAAACTTTTTATGAATAATAATATTATAAAATAATAATAGAAAATAATAGTATAATAATTATATTCATTGTTAAAAAGCATATAAATACACACAAATAGGTATATATTATATAATAGATAATACAAATATATAATTATGTTATTATTAGTTGATAAATATAGAATATTAGAAACACATTTCAGAATAATTCATAAAAAAAAAAAAATATTTTTTTTTTTAATGAATTATCATTCTGAAATGTGTTTCTAAAACAGCCAGCAATGTTAATTATGCATAATAACAACATGTATTTGTTTGTTTGTTCTTCTTGATGAGCGTAAAATCAAGCGACTGAGCAGACCATGATCATGAGATTGTAAAATATCAACAGTAGCCAAGATCAAGGTTTGTGAAATGTTTGTTTTTTATGTTTTATGACCGTTTTTGCATGTTACATAGAAACATACTTGGATCAAATTAAAAGAGATAAAGGTACAGGAAAAACATCTTTCTAAAAGGTGGAGAAAAAAAGTGAGCAGTCAAACTTGAAATGAAAGTTTGGCATTAATTATTGTAGCTTATTTTTTGGTACATACCACATTTAGTAACTTTTGTTAGCCAGAAGAATTATTCATTAAAAGTAATCAAATGTTTTGAATGAGCAGTCCATTGTTATGCATTTTACAAATCTGTACGTTTATAATTCGCAGTGTGTAATATACTTGAAAAATTAGCTGGGAAATTTCACCTGGCACAGATCTCAATTTAAAGAGTGAAATTAATTTTTTTTTATATAAAATTGCACGTTGAGTTTGACACATTCAATCAGTTTTCATTAAAGGACAGCTCGTTAGCTAATAACTCTAACAGTACTTCACTATGCATATTTGGCACAAATAATGTCACAGAAACACAGTCTAACACTTTATTTCGTCCCTTTTAATAAAAGCCCTAAAGCTGAGCTTCATCAGTATTGCAGTTTATAGATCCTCAGCTTTGAGATGAACTATTTCTCCTATCAAGTGATCGGATTTAGGTTATCGCAAGGCATCGCATGTACAAATGAACCTGTATTTCTGACAATTTACTAAGAAGAAGTTAAAATTAGTTTTAAACCACCATGACTGCACATGTACAGCTATATAAATAATATGCATTAAATATAATAAAATAGATGTAAACTGCATATACATTTACTGTATAAAGATCCCTCACTTTGAGAGTTTATGCTTATATATAAAGATACATATCGATCGCTTATATAGTATGAATATATCGATATCTGCTTTCATTTTGTAAGAATAGAAGCAGTGTATCATATAAAATAATCATTGTTATGTTTAATATTTATTTTATCCATCGTATGTCAGCAGTGGTGTCGTCACTCACTGGAACTGTGTGTGATAAATATCATGTGCATTTGCAGATTGAGGCCTCCCATGCACAGAGAAGTTTCAATAGTTGTCATAACTGGTTTAAAATCAGTGGATTCTGGTTAACTAGTTACACCCCCCAATGCCAAATATAAAAGAGAATTGTATAGCAAACGTTTTTTCAAATGCTTGGTCCTGTGGAAACATCGCAATTTAGCCTAGAAAATACGCAAACTGCCTCGTACGTCGTTTGGCAGTGAGAAGAATTGAAAAGGAATAGAATACAAACTCGCACTCCATGAAGCCGGCAAGCACTACAAACTCAAGCATGTAAACTGTAGAAATATTCTTATTTACAAAAGTAATAACAAGACTTGTCGTTGTTTCTTATAAATATACAAAATGCAACGTAATAACTTGAATATCCATGTGCACAGGACTCCTGCCCAGGACTGTTTATATTTCACCTACGGTAAGACTTATACGATTTTTAACTATCTTCCACAGATGTATCCAAACACCGATTAAAGGAAATCCACCATCATGACCCTCACTATACTTACTGTGGGACAATTAAAACCCCCTTGACCCTCAAAAAAAACAGTTTTGCACTACAGGAGCACAATTTATCCACTTAGCAAGTGTCTTCGACATGCAAATTGCAATTTATAAAAATGCTAAGCAGCGTGTTTGTTTATTAAATTGTCTAATTAGAGGACGCATTCAGCTACTGATAATATTAACGCATTTTACCGTGATTAAATCCATTTTCCACCTACAGTAATTAGTACACTCTAAAAAATGCTGGGGTAAATACAACCCAGTGTTGGGTAAAATAGGGACAAACCCAGCAATTGGGTTGTTTTGACCCAGCGGTTGGGTTACTACCCAGAAGGTTGGAAAAAAGCCTATGTTCTGCTGAAGAGCTTAAAGGAATAGTTCAAACTAAATTAATAATTTGCTGAAAATGTACTCCCCCTCAGGGCATCCAAGATGTAGATGAGTTTGCTTCTTCATTGCAACAGATTTGGAGAAGTTTAGCATTATACCAGTTTTTCACTCTGCAGTGAATGGGTGCCGTCAGAATCCAAACAGCTGACAAAAACATCCACAAGTAATCCACACCACTCCAATCCATCAGTTAACATCTTGTGAAGCCAAAAGCTGCGTGTTTGTATTAAAAAAACAAATCCATCATGACATTTTAACTTCAAACCGCAATTGCTTTTGGCCAAGATACGAATTCATAATAATGCTTCCTCCAGTGAAGAAGTCCATCCCTGTTGTCCTTTCACATCAAAATCCACCCACATATTTGTTTAGGATTGTTTTAGCTTGTTAGCAGTGTTTGATCTGTGCATATGTCTCTCTTGATTCAGATTTTTTTCACTGGAGAAAGCAATATATTGGATAGAGGCCTCGTGTGCAGTTAAAAATGCCTTAATGATGGATTTGTTTCTTTCAGACACGCAGTTTTTTATCTTCACAAGTCAACTGCTGGACTGAAGTGGTGTGGATTACTTTTTATCAGACTCTCATTCTGACGGCACCCATTCACTGCAGAGGATCCATTGGTGAGCAAGTGATGCAATGCTACATTTCTCCAAACCTAATGAAGAAACAAACTCATCTACATCTTGGATGGCCTGAGGGTGAGTCAGATTTTCAGGAAATGGCTGAACTATTGCTTTAGATTTTGCATTGTAATCTACACTATGTAACTGGACCGGACTTCACGTTCAATTCCAGTGTTTCACGACCGTTTTTTCCTATTATAGAACTCTACCGACCCTTCCTGGAACTATGCATCAGTGCGACATTTGTGAAGGCTTAGCACATGCAAGGAAACGTGTCAAAACAGACGTCATCATGGAACAAATCTCCTGCTGAGGTGAAGCAGATCCCGCGTCAGAGGCAGCGTCTCACCATGTCGTACGAAAGTAGAACACCTAAAGGCCAGTGAGGTCCACGATTGCTTTGATGAAGATGGTGTCGTCACGTATGTATGAGTTCTTGCCCTCCAGCTTGGACAGCGGACAGAAGAGCGGGCAGCCGCTGGCGATGTTCATCTCGCTTACAGGCCTCTGGAATGAGGAGGAAGTGATGTCGGGACGGAACGCGTCAATGATGTGCTCTCTGTTACTCTGGTCCAGCAGCATCAGCGTCACCTGGAAGAAAGTAACTAACTTCAGCTCACAAACACATAACAATGCATGCATTTTGAACTAGGATAGGTTAGGCTGTGATAATTGGTTCATTTAATTTTCCCCACCTGCATGGCCTTGGTTACAACACAGAATGGTAATACTATTCTTAATATTAAAATAGATAATCAGATATATAATTTAATAACATAAAATATACTAATATATAGTCATATATATACTAATATATGTGACCCTGGAGCACAAAACCAGTGTTAAGTCGCTGGGGGATATTTGAAGCAATAGCCAACAATACATTGTATGGGTCAAAATGATTTATTTTTATTTTATGCCCAAAATTATTAGGATATTAAGTACAGATCATGTTCCATGAAGATGTTTTGTAAATTTCCTACTGTAAATATATTACAACTTAATTTTTGATTAGTAACATGCATTGCTAAGAACTTAATTTGGACAACTTTAAAGATGATTTTCTCAATATTTAGATTTTTTTGCACCCTCAGATTTCAGATTTTCAAATAGTTGTATCTCGGCCAGATATTGTCCTATCCTAACAAACCATACATCAATGGAAAGCTTATTTATTGACCCTTATGACTGGTTTTGTGGTCCAGGGTCACAATTAGCATTAGTCTGAAGACAAGCAGTGTAAAAAAACAAAATGGTGATGTACCTTCTGGTTGAAAGACCATTTGAGCAGTGCGTCATTCATTCCTCTCATCACCACAAAAAACAACGAGAGATGCGTTCCACGACCCGTCCCGTCCCCGTTCAGGTAAATCCGCAGGCACATCTTATAGCCGTACTTGCTTGTGTAAAATGCTGAACAAAACCAAAGAGCATGTTGGTCCAAATAATATATAATTGACAAATCAAAAAGAATTACTGTGTCTGTTCTGACTAATGTGGTTGTTTTTACCGGGTGAAAACATGGCAGGCGCCCGTCCGGCAATGGCATCTTGTCTCTTTTTAGTGAAATCTGATATCCGCCAGATGAAGACGCCGTCAAACGTGGTGGCAGACATCTCCCGCAATCTGCCCTCCATTTCAGCCACAGTCAGGTCTTTAACGCCCACCTGCCGCTCCAGCTGACGAACCTACATGAGACGCACGTGATGGAGAAATACGGACGTGTTGAGGCCGTTTGATTAGATTTAGAGCATCAATGATTCTCACATGGCAAAGAAAGATGCGATCACGGAGCTAAAGATGTCTACTGACAATATTACCCCTTTAAAGCCTACTGTATTATATTCAATACGCACATTTCTAAAGCCTCTAAATGATCTACTTTTCTGACAACCCTGTTGTAC